GTGTTTACTGTCGTCTCATGACGCATTGCACCGTCCCTGCCTGTCCGTTGTATCGGACTCGTAAGTAGCAAATTATTTTCAATTATAACTCGAAAACTAAGCTTCGGACAAAATTTTGTAAAAGAAAAAATCGTCTCAAAATTCGCTCAAAAATATGGCATTGCAAGGACATCAGGTTATTTTGAATCACCCTGTATATGCGCCGAGTTGCAAAAGATCGGATAGATTCCTTAAACAATACTATTTTAAATATGTGTAAAGTCGTGCATTTGCGTAAAATTAAAAAATTTTGTTAGATATGATTCAATTTAAGCTAAAAAAAGTGATTTCTTCATACTTTGACATGAGTAACTGTATAAAATTTGAAAAAAATCGGCGCCTGACGTTCCATAAGATTTAATTTGTTAGTTGCCAATTCGTTCTTAGCACTCTGTAGATTACACATAATCTTTAAATGCGTTTTTCTCGCTTATTTTTTAGAGTTGCGTCGTAGCGCTTTACCACGATTTACTGGGAGGATAGTACTACATTATATAAAAAATTCAGCAAAATCAGTGATTTCAATGTCTGATGTTCCCCTTGTTAGTGTAAAATTGAGATTTTTTTTATAGACATAAGAATAGAGATAAATAGACATAAGAATATGGAATTAAGTTAGTTATAAGCTAGGATGTAAATTAATGTAAGAGAATATTGTTAAGATAAAATTTATTGCAATTTTAAAAGGAAAGGGCGGTTTTACGTATGCAATTTTCTTATAAGCGTCCCTCATCGATACTACAATAGGAAAAAGGAAAAGAGAGGGGGGCAGAGAAAATGAGAAAAAGAGAAAGAGGAAAGAAAAAAGAGAGGGAGAGGGAAGGAGGAAGGAGAGGGAAAAAGGGGCATCCTTGATACCCTTTTTTTATAGCAAAACAGGGCACTCTTAACGCTGTTTCTTTTTTGTATACGCATAGTGAAATTAACATATACACAGCATATTTTTTACTATCATGTCCATACAGCGTTAGGAAGCACCAAGAGTGCTTTCAAAAAACGTCTCTGGCGTCTCTGTGCAAAGCATAATCCATTCCTTCTCCCCCCTCCCCCCTCCCGCCCTTCTAAAGCCGGTTTTTAATAATAATTATGAGGATATCAATGTTTTGTTGATTGTTCATAAAATATAAAAGTAATAATATTACCTGGATTACACGCATAATCTGTGAAGTCGTTAACGCCTTCGTTTCTTAATATATCTTCGTCAATCAAGAATTTTCCAGTAATGGATTTACTATCTTTACAAAGCAACGCGTAAACAGCATCTGCCATAATTTCGGGTTTTCGGCAAAAATTACTTGATTCCGAGCCTGATAACATGTCCATTGCAGCGGTATGTATAGCTAAAACAAAATAAAAATTAATTAATTTATTTATATATTAATTAATTTTAAATATACGTCCGCATGCACGTGCACGTGTGTTAGCTATACTAATTTTCTTTATAAAACTATAAACAGCATGAGAAAAAGAAACGTTATTTTTTACTAATGCAACATATATTTAACAACATTTGATAAAAATTGAGATATTTACATGTATTTAACAATTCTTAAAAGAAAATACGGCAAAATCTGTTTTATTATACTTTGTCTGCTGTTCATAAAAATAACCTTACTTAAAATATAGTTAAAAATAATTATATTTTTTAGTTTATTCATAATTAGTATTTTGCTTTGTTTTTTAAACTATATAAACTATTTAACTTTATTTTAGATAATTTTTAATTTGCAACAAAATTCAATATACAGGGTGTTGCATATACATATTGGGCAGTACGACGGGTTGCGCGACATACTTTGCAGGGATAGACGCGGCTCAGTGGGTAATGACAGCATATATACGTACCATCATAACTTATTGATCGATTGATCGCGTGCATTTTTATTAATTTTGAGTTTACAGTGTTTCAATTATGACGGACTTGAATAATCGTTGCGATTATTACTGGAGTAGTTAAAACACATTAAAAATAAAAAATTAAATTTTAGAAAGTTAACACGTTAAAAGAAACAAATACGATACAACAAAATTTCTTTCTTTACCGCTTTACTTTTCGCGCGTGTTAGCGTTGTAAATTTCGATAGAATTTTTAGATTTAGAAGAAATGAAAAAGAAAAGACATGTCGACTGCAACTCCGTACTGTATTGCACTCTGGAATCAGTTTCTGAAAAAGTTGAGTCAATCTGAAACGCAAATGAAACGAAATAGAACAATATATCCGTTATAAAAAATCGCTAGCAAAACTAATTCAGATCCTGATCTCGAAAGTTTGAAATGTTTTAAGAATATTAATCACCAACGTTAATTGATGTAGACAGAAGATGACATTGTTTATTTCGAAGATGCGTAATAAAAATATTAAGCGTATAAGGAAGTATTTCAATCAAAAACTTTTTATATTTGTATGAAAATTATTTATTGAAAATTATTTTTATAACATATGTTCAAAATATCCGCCAGACTCTTCTAAACACAATGCGACTCTTCGCATGAAACTTTGTCGCACTCTATCTAAAATGGCAGGTGTGATATTACGACTTGTTGCTCTAATTTTTTCAATTAATCTTCCCGATTGTCTGGTAGTGTTTGATACACCTGATCTCGTATGTAGCCCCATGCAAAAAAATCCATGGGTGTGAGATCAAGTGATCGCGGTGGCCACTCGTGGAAATCGCTGTGGATGCCTATCTATCTATGTGCAAATCGCTGATTTAAAACACCACGAGCGAGAATCGAAGTGTGAGCTGGATAGCCGTCTTGCTGGAAAATAATTTCGTCTGGCGGGATATTTAGTTGGACATCATTTAATAAATTTGGCAGCGTTTCTACCAGAAATTGTGAATATACTTCTGCCGTAACATTCACATTTTGGGGAAAAAAATGTGGCCCAATAATTTGATTGTCCACAATCCCCATCCAAACATTTATACTAAATTTCCCCTGGACATGTGTTTCTTTTCGGCAATGGGGATTCTCTTCCGCATAGTGATGTTCGTTGTGGCGATTGATACGACCGTCACTTCGGAAAGTACACTCATCCGTCCACAAAATTCTTTTTAAAAAGTGATCATTTATA